ATACATTTTGATATTTTTATCTTTTCTAACTTTAATATTTTTAAGTTTTGGACAACTGTAAATAAAAAAAATTAAAAATAAAAATTTAAAAACGTTTCTGTGTTTTAATCTTAGAGATGAAAAAAAAAAAAAAAATCGTTCGCCCAACACGACTGTGCCAGTTATGGATTGTCTTCCACTACCAGTTAAAACCCTTCATCCCACATTCTTCAGTTTTCCCGAGACTTACAAAGCACCACCACGATCCATGGCCACTCTAAGCTTCGCCGCCACCTCTGCTGCTGTAAAATCTTCCCTCACAAAGCTCCTCCTTCCCATTTCTCCCAAATCCCCTTCAGTAGTCTCCCTCTCTATCCCCAATCCTTCCTTTGCCTCCGTCAAACGCCTAAACACAGCTCCCAAATTCCCCCATCTCTCACCCCTCAAATGCTCACCTAACCCCTCCCCCACCCCAACTACCTCGTCCCTCAAATCCCGCCTCCGTAACGGCGAAACCCTCTATGGCATCTTTCTCCTCTCCTTCTCCCCCACGCTCGCAGAGATAATCGCATTCTCTGGCTATGACTTCGTTGTCATCGACATGGAGCACGGTCCCGGTGGAATCTGCGAATCCCTCCAAATCCTTCGCTCCCTCTCCTCCACCAACACGCCTGCTATTATCCGTCTCCCTGAATCCTCCCCGGCCTGGGCCAAAAAAGCCCTCGACATCGGGCCGCAGGGGATAATGTTCCCGATGATCGATTCCCCTAAGGATGCCAAAAAGGCAGTTTCATACTGCCGCTTCCCACCTGACGGAATCCGCGGATCCGCCCACCCCGCAGTGAGAGCTTCCAAATACGGGATCGACGAAGGGTACCTAAGCAATTACGTTGAGGATCTGCTAATTATGTGCCAGGTAGAGTCCGTAGAAGCGGTGAAGAACGTGGAGGAGATCGCGGCGGTGGATGGTGTGGACTGCGTGCAGATGGGTCCGTTGGATCTGAGCGGGAACATGGGGTACTTATGGGACCCGGGTCACAAGAAGGTAAGGGAGATGCTGAGGGTAGCAGAGAAGGGAGTGCTTGGATCCGACCCGGAAAATGGTGGGGCATACTTGGCTGGTTTTGCCATGCCACATGACGCACCGGCGGATATGGCGAGGCGCGGGTACCATATGGTGTCCGGTGGGGTGGACGTGGGGCTGTTTACGAAGGCTGCTTTAGAAGATGTGAAGAGTTTTAAAAAGAGCTTGATGGAAGGATCCGACGACGAAGCTGAAAAAGATGGAGCTGATGATGAGAAGTACTGGAGCGAATGAAGAATGTTATCACTTTAATTTACATTTTCTTAAGAAGAAAGTTGTGGAGAATTTTTCTTTGTTTTCTTTCTTTTTTGTGTAAATTTCTGTATGGTATTGGGAAAATCAGTTTGTGCTGCTAATTGAAATGTTAAAGTGATAATATAAAGACTAAAATATCAAATCTGACGCATGGTTACCCCTGAGTTACAACTCCATCCCTCGTCAGAAAGAAGAAAAAAGCAACCCTTAAATTAAACTGCATTACTTCAGAAGGAAGGAAAAAGAAGCCCTTGAATTGAACTGCATGACTTCATATGGTAGAAAAAGGCAAAAAGGGGCAAATCAGCCCTTCTACTCATTGAATGGTAGCGAAGCAACGACCTCTTCTCTTGGGCAAGTTTTGAAAATTTAAATAATTGTGAAGGTTAGTTTTAGAATTTTACATAGCCGCCTTGGCATGGTGTGTGCTCAATTGAAAAAAATTATCCATCCCATTGCCTTGTAAGCGTTGGAACCCAACAGAACAGTTTTTCCGTTTATATATAGCAGTTGGCTGACGTAATCCGTCAAGTAGGGGCTGATTTGCTACATATGATGAGTTGAGGGGTTGATTTTCCACGATTCAATGAGTACAAGGGCTTCCTCCTCAACCAAACCCCACTCCACCCCCATCTAATTGGTACTAAAGTCTCCACCTCCCCCAACTAATGCTTCATTGCACTTATGAGAAGTTCATGAAATTTAAGATGAAAAGAGAATATTGTTTTGTAGTTTAACTTAAGTTCAAACTATAACAAATTGATCATTAATTTTTAGAGAGAAATACTTTATATTTAAGAGTTATACTTCATCAATGATTATAATTACACAATTTATAGTAGATTGGACTGCAAATATATATATTTTTTGAAATATTGGGGAATTTGGAGAATGGAGGATTTTTTTTCAAATCGTCAGTGAGAGTCAAACTTTCAACTAATTAAACACAAGTATTAAAATCGAACTTTCAACTAACTAAACCTAATCACTTAAAATTTGGAGAGTAATGATATAAGCATCGATACTTGCAGGACGAATTTAAGGAGCGACTTACGTGGCTTGCTATGCACATAGACCCCAACCCCACTGACTGATTTGGGTTTTTATTAAAAAAGGTAAAATTTTACAGTTACGTAAGTCACCCCTTAAATTCGTCCTGCAAGTATCGGTGCTTGTATCATTATTCAAATTTGGAATGAACCACTAAATTTGAGAGTCTGATTTGGAAATACTTTCTCTAAAATGGAAATATCACATAAAACAAAAACAAAAGCAGGATACTTCTTACTGGTTTGACGTTTTGAGTGCTTAATAAAAAATCCATCCTCTAAATTATTAAGACCGAAAAAAATGCCCGCAGTCTTGGGTCCAACCCGAACCGGATCCTTTCTTGAAAAGAAAAAATATAATAGAAAAAAAATGAACAACTCTCAACTTCCCCGGGAAAATAACGAAACACGATGGGGCACTCTGCCTTCTAATTCACGAACCCACACTCACCAAACTCCACAAAGCAAATAGCCATTTCTAGTTTGATGAGAGGTCCCTTTTGATACGGTACAATACAATACAATCCCTTCTCATTCTCTTTCTTCCTCTGCATCTTGCAGATTCATCTTCCCAAACCCCACTATGGAGGCATTGTACTTCCTGGTATTTGGTGCCTTGGCGGTCGTTGTGGCAACATTGGAACTCAGCAAATCCAGTAAAGATCGCATCAACACCTCCCCTGCTTTCAATGCTTTCAAAAACAACTACCTTGTTGTTTATTCTCTTATGATGGGTATTTCATCGATCCCACTTTTTTTTTTCTTTTTTAATCTTTTCTCTTCTCTTAGTTTGTTTTCTAATGGGTTATTCTCATTTGGGGTCTTTTTGAAATAATTAGAAGGTTGTGTAGTTGTTTTCCTGATCTGGGTTTGATGCCGAATTTGTTATCCTTATGAAAATTCATATCAGTTAATGTTGTCAATGTTGTTTGTTTTGTATATATTCTCAATATTATCTTCCAATACTGAAAGTTACTTTTTCTTCTTTTTTAATTGTGGAAACACAGCCGGGGATTGGTTGCAGGGCCCATATGTTTACTATCTCTACAGTCAGTATGGATTTGGAAAGGGGGAGATTGGGCAGCTCTTCATTGCTGGTTTTGGATCTTCTATGTTGTTTGGAACAATTGTTGGATCTCTGGCAGACAAAAAGTACAATCGTCTGTTCTTACCGTGATACATTACTGATAATTCAATTGTCAGGCTTTGTGAATTCTTCAAAATTGTGTTTCAGGGGCCGAAAGAGAGCATGTGTCACTTACTGCATCACCTACATACTGAGCTGCATCACCAAACATTCTCCTCAGTACAAGGTTCTAATGCTGGGCCGAATATTGGGCGGAATTGCAACGTCTCTTCTCTTTTCAGCATTTGAGTCTTGGCTTGTAGCAGAACACAATAAGGTGCATAATATTCGTCTTTGAACTTGCGGATTTTCTTTATGTAATTGTTGGCACTTTTGAATTCTCTTATTTTTGTGACGGTCTTAAATTGTCATGCTTTTTATGTCAAAATTTTTCCTTTTCTAATGTTGATTAAGTGGAGTCCCACTTATCGATCTCTGAAGAACTGTGATATTTCCACTTGATTGGTAGGTAAAAAATGCTGCCTAACCCTTTCTCTGTAGGGATACTTTAGTTATTAGTTAAGGATTTCTCCACTTACTGTAATCATTTAAATGTCCTTATCTTCCGTAATATGTCTTATATTGAATTTTGGATTCTGCAGAGGGGTTTTGATCAACAGTGGCTTTCAGTAACATTCTCTAAGGCAATATTCCTTGGAAATGGCTTAGTTGCCATTTTATCTGGGTTGGTTGGTAACATACTGGTAGATAATTTGGCCTTAGGTCCTGTTGCTCCATTTGATGCTGCAGCTTGCTTGCTTGCAATTGGCATGGCAATCATATTGTCATCGTGGTGTGAAAATTATGGAGATCCTTCAGAAACCAAGAACTTGCTGACACAATTCAGGGGTGCTGCAGCTGCCATTGCTGCTGGTAAATCCTGACTCTTGCTTTTATTATGGCTTGATGCTTGTTCAGCAGTGAGGGAAATTAATCAATCAAGTTAATTGGATATTCATATGCTTGGCTTATTAGGACTTGGATGTCTAGGCTATTAACTGTTAGACAGAACATACAATTTTCTCTCTGGACTTTATAAACATAGAATTTATGCATCAGAAAAATACTAAAATACATTTTTGAATGTTGAATTGAAGCTGCATATGAGTACTAACATACTTCTTTGGTTCTATTAAACAGAAAATAAATACAGAAAACTAGTCTTATCCTGGTTACCAATTATGTATTATCTTTCTTTCCATCCTGACCTAGTGGAAATAAATTAATTCTTAGATGAGAAGATTGCATTGCTGGGTGCCATACAATCGCTATTTGAAGGTTCAATGTACACCTTTGTGTTCCTCTGGACTCCTGTATTGAGCCCCAATGACGAGGATATTCCACATGGTTTCATTTTTGCAACATTCATGTTGTCTTCAATGCTAGGAAGCTCCATTGCATCACGACTGCTGGCTCGTGGAACTCCCAAAGTGGAGAGCTATATGCAGTTTGTTTTTTTGTTATCTTCTTCTTCCCTCTTGCTTCCAGTTATAACAAATGTAAGTTGGGGGTTTCTTTTCCTCTTTCTTCCCCCATATCCCCTACTGTACCATTTTTCTTTTCATTTCTCTCTCCTATAAAGTATAAACTATAAAGGTATTGTGGGAAGCTTAATGATTATCAGTAAATTAACTGCAACTTTGAATAGTTTGTGGTAGTTCCTTCTGGTGTGAAAGGTGGAAGCATCTCATTCTCTGGGTGTATCCAACTTATTGGTTTCTGCACATTTGAAGCATGTGTGGGGATATTCTGGCCATCCATCATGAAGATGAGGTCGCAATACATTCCAGAGGAGGCTCGAAGCACGATTATGAACTTTTTTCGCATTCCTCTCAACATCTTTGTTTGTGTTGCATTGTATAATGTAAGTGATCTATACTCTCTTTTTATTAATTAATATTTGTCACATGTGACCTTTTTTTTTCTTTCTAGTGATTCACATTGTGGCTGGAGATGTTATTTGGTTAGTGATTGACTTAAATCTTTTATGACATTGTTGCATAAATCTACTCTTAGATCTTGAGTTATCTTATCATTTAACCTAGGTTAAATAAAACAATACCCTATCCTCTTTCATCTCAATAATCTGGCAATGAATAATAAGTAAATATATAAATGCTGGGAGTGGGAGCTAATGTTTCCATGAAATGCTATTGCTGTCTCCTGCTATTAAGTATGGATCCTTTTTCTTTTGTTCTTTTCTTTTGAAGGTAAAAGCAGTTCCCATGACTGTCATGTTTGGCATGTGCTCGATTTTTCTTTTTGTTGCATCTTTATTACAGAGGCGTCTTATGGTGATTGCAGAGATCCAAAAGTCAAGTAAGTTTTCTATATACCTTGTGAATCTGTGATTATATGCTTTGCATTTATCTATTGTATTTATTAAGATATTCGGGGATGGGGCTTCACCATCTAGTTTAGACTTTAGAGGTGTCTATACCGTATAAAACCAATTCTTGTGTGGATGCTTGGTGCTTAGTAGTTTTATGTCTTTTTGGTGAAATGGTTCCTAATGTGGTATTAGAGCCACTTCAACCGAGTGGTATCCACCAAAAAAAAACCAATATATATATGGAAAAAGTGTTTTTCAGTACAGACTACACTTTTTATATACCGGTCTAAGTTGAGGTTTGTTAGTGCAACCATTCTTTTAAAATACATCAGCAAACTCATTTATTATTGTCTGAACTTTTTTTTATTGTTAAGCTTCAATACCCAGAAAATTTCTTGGTATATAAATGGTATATAATACATTATCATGAATGTTTTTCTTTTCTTTCAGAATCACAAGAGTGGACATCAATGAATGAGAGGAGCATTGAGGCAGAGCCATTAAACATTTAGCTGATTTCAGAGGAATAAACCTACTGATCATTTTAAAGGTTGCAAGCTTCCACTTTCTCTATTGTAGATTTCACTGCCTGCAACCCAATCCATAAGAAAGGAGTAGATGCTGAGTCCTGCTTGCTAAGATGGTGGAAACCATGCTGCTGCCGGAATAGAAAGCAAGACACAGAAGGAAAGTATCGCGTTCAGGTTGTTTTCTTGCAATATATGCCAGTTGGTGATGCTGAATAACGTATCAGTTTTTTTTCCCACTTTTGTTAACGTAGAAATTCTAATATCTAAGACACTTTCAGGAATTACAGATAATTATAAAAAGACGTTTCATTACATTGGTTAGTTGCTCTGTAATTTCCTTAATCCCTATTTACTTGTTATCAAAAACAATGTGAAATCTAATTCTCTAATAATTAATTTAACTTCTTGTTGAGTCCATTCTTAGTACCTAAAAGAAACTAGAGTATGGCATTCATGTATACCCTCCGTTAAAATTTTAGAAAACATAAACTTTTTTTGTTTAATGAAATAATGATATAATAATTAATTGATAAAATTTTATATTTATTCTTAATTAATTATTACTACTTAAATAAGTCTTATTTTAATTACATTGTAATTATATTTTTATAATAAAGATAAATTAAATATAAACACATTAAATAATAAGAACCATTAAATTCAAACTTCTCAAATTTAAAATTAAGCCATAATTTGAACAGAGAGAGCATATAACTTTGAGCCTTGAATTGAATCATATGACAAAACTGGTGGTGGTCATTGAGCATGTTCAATGATTTATCATTCCAGATTGTGACTTGTTTGAATTTTGGAGCTTCTAATGTTACCATGTGGGAAGGGACAAAGTCACTGTTTTTCTCTTGTCCACTGCACATGGCAACATGACATATGAACTGAAACAAATTGGCTACTCTTATTTTATAAAAACATCCTCACCTCCTCAATACCCACATTACCACTTTGGGCACAGCTGTTAGTGACTAATCCAAACTTGACCCATGTGCCATAATTGCACATATGCATGATCTGCATTAATTTCCTTTCCAATTCTACCCTTCAAAATGTCTGCATTTTCGCTTAATGAAAAGGGTCATTAAAGTAAAATTAGCCTTTAAACCTTTTTTTTGCTCTTTCAGCTCCACCAAGGTTTAGTTGCAACACCACACCAAGGCCAATAAAGATTTCTTCCCCAACTCCACTCCATCCTCCTCTTGAGAAAAGAAGAAAGGCAGGGACATAGAGGGAGAGAAAGCAAAGAAGGATGGCCTTTCCAAGAAATTCTAGATGTCACTTCTTCTGTGCTTTTCAGATCCTTTTGTTACTCCAAACCAAAGTCCTCTGCTATGAATACAAGGTTGGAGATTTAGATGCCTGGGGCATCCCTACATCAGCAAACCCCCAAGTCTACTCCAAGTGGTCCAAATATCACTCCTTCAGGCTAGGAGACTCCCTCTGTAAGTTTTCTCCTCGTTCTTCCTTTTCTGGATTCGATTTCAGGTCCTTGTGATACAATCAAATGACTTTACCAACTCAGTTGGGTAGCATTCTCATTCCTGTATCTTACCATTATTCATGTTGGCTTTTCCTTTCTGTTTTTGCAGTATTCTTGTACCCTCCAAGTCAGGATTCATTAATCCTAGTCACAGAGCAATCCTACAATTCCTGCAACATCAAAGATCCAATCTTGTACATGAACAATGGCAACTCTCTCTTCAACATAACTGCTTGTGGGGATTTCTATTTCACCAGTGGGGAGCCTGGTCATTGTGAGAAGACACAGAAGCTGCGCATATCTGCTTGCGGAAATGGTTCTGCTGCATATGCTCCGTCCTATGGCCCCAGTTCATTGCCCGATAGCGCTCCCTCTTACCCTACTGTTTTTGGCACAATCCCAGCACCACCTTCCTCATCTTCAACCTCACAGAAATTCCCAATCTTTACAGCTTTTCTTGTGGGGTCAGCAATCTGGGCAACAATGGGTGGCATCATGTGAAGGACTTTGGTTGCCTCAAGATTTCAAAATTCATTCAAAAATAATTTTGGTATTTATTTATTAAATTATTTATTTTTGGTCAGATCATTGGCATCATGCCATTATGGCATATTGGTCCATGTGATCAAGAATGAATAAAGTTTGTTTTCTTTGTAATTCTTTTTCAACAATTTAAAGATAGATGAAAATCACAAGGCTGTTTTATTGGTTTTAGATTGCGAGATCCTGGAGCTTGTAAAAAGTGGGCGCTCCCGTGCCTTCTTTTGCTCTTTTCTAAGAAAAAGAGATGCACACTTTTCCTGTTAGATTAAATAAACAGAAACTGTGTACTGTTTATGTCCGTGAGAACGCCTGGAATCGTGGGAAATGGACAATGGGACATGGACACAGCTACCCAGTTGCCTTTATTTATAATTGCCAGCTAGTTTTGATTTCAGCTAAAACTACACCGACACCTTCTTATCTGTGGGTCTCTATTAAAACAACAAAAAAATTATCTACAAATTTTGTATGCAACCACCAAGACAAAAATAGAGACAAGGAAATATAAGCGTATGGATACCGGGTCGTGATTTACAAAGTTAGAACAGGTTGAATCCATATTCTACGTAAGCTGAACCAATTACACAGATTTATGCCATGCTTCGTGAAAATAAATAAATAAATAAAAGTACAGAGGGAAAAAACTTGGCAGAAGTTCTACTAATCTTCGTGATGGTTTGGTGTCAATGGTTATTCAGTTGGCATTGGCATCTACAGCCATTGCCCTTTCTTCGGATGGGTTTGCTGCTTCGGGAGCTGCAGGGTCTCCATATTGCATTCTTGAATCTGATGCAAATGGGCTCTTCATTTGAGCAGAAGAGTCTATTTCCATAGCTGAAGCTCTGGGAGGGGAGACAGGCTGAACCTCCTTGTCTGAGTAAGCAGCCTTGTACCTTGCACGCAGGCCTTCATCTACCAGCCTTACTCCCTGCAACTGGTTACCGAGTGATATCCATCTGATAAAAAATAAGAACAAAGAAGAGACTTAGCAATTAACAGCACCATAACTAGGCTCAAAATTCCCAAATCGTCATGTTTCTTTTGAGTTATCCTCTAAATTGTCGCATTGTTTTTAGCTTATTTGTTAATGTGGCATACGGGTACCCTCCTATGATGACATCTCATGCACAAGAATCATTACACAGTAATGATCCCGCTAAGCAGACTACTTTTAAGGCTCAAATACATGATATTGTGGCTTTTGCTTGTGCATCATAATGGTATCTAACTGATAGATATTTATGAAGACAAATATTTTATTATTAAAGAAGAAAAACAGAAGATGATTTCATTTAGAAGAAAGTATGAATAAAACCAACCCTGCTTGTGTATTATGCATGCGCGCAAATAATTCCAGCTTCCTTGTCCTTGGACTTATTCTCTCTAGCATCGGGTACATCTGCACAAATGTATTTCTCTTAACTCAAGTTTATGTCGAGTGAAACTGGATCAATTCATATTTATATCGACACTACCAGCACAACAAAAGACAATGAACAGAGAACCATCTTGTAAAAGACATATGTACAGGAAAAAAAAACCCCAGCATGCAGAACCATAGTCATCCTTTAGTTTCAACTTTCAAACACTAAAAGATGCACACAAACAAAGGAAGAAGAGGATAGTACTACAAAGGCTCACAGAAAACCTTCTACAAACCTCATCTGGTTTACGACTTGTCTCACGAACCTCAGCAACAATGACATCAGTGTCTATATTCCTGTTTATTTCTGGATTTCCCTTAATTCCAACAAGGCAATGCTCCTTACTGTGATTGAGCCAATGGCCCGTTCGTCCTGTTCTAATTATGCGTTGAAGTTGATTAGTCTTGACCCAGATGATCTCTTCAACACGCTTGTACCCCCAGAGATCCAGACTGCAAGAAGCATGAACTGTGTTACACAGGAATAGAAACCAAAATATTATTCAATAACACTCTTTATGGCCAAAGGAATAAGCACAAACCATTCACGTCCTAGCTCCATGGCACGTCCCGTGACCCAAAGAAAAATTAGACCATCAGTCTGCAAAGCAGGAACATTAAGATTCCGCATCTCATCATCAGCCATAGTTCCATAGGGCAACTCCATATGAATATCCCATGGTGGATCTGCCATTATAACTCCAAACTGACCCAAAATGTCCATTCTAAATGAGCGAATATCACAATTTATCCATTGTGGTTCACCTAGCTCCACTTCAGAACAATAATCAGCACGTGGAGGCTTTAATGGTTTCTCAGGGCCAATATCATCTGGTGTCTGGTCAAGCTCATAATGCACATACTTGCATGTCTACAAAATAAAAGTAAATTTATATTTACTTT